CACTGACCGACGACCCAGAACAAATCTGACATTTCAGACAGGATGACGTCATTTGGGAGAACAATCGGCTTCCTCTGTACAGAAAGATGCAACGCTTCATTGGCTGCCGTCGTGACGTCACCCGTGGGTTTGTGGACTAACGCTTGTATTTTGAATGCAGGCTTTTTTCTTAAAGGAAAATGTTTCTGTAACAGTACGAACAGTCAGAAAGGAGGAGGGGTCTCTTAAGCGGATGCGGTTGTATATTAGTGAAAATACACGGGTTTGCATAGCACATTATTTTATTATCAAATGCACAACATTTGCAGACACATTTCCTCTCTTACTCATTGTAAAAGTATAAAGACGTTGTTCACATTTGTGGTCAACATTCAAGTAGATAGAAGCATTAAAACACATGACCAAAATCACAGATTCATCTAATGGAAATGAATCCCCAAATGTATCAAAAAATGAACGTAAGAACCGTATAAATATATATATTTTAACTTTATACATTATTTATGATAATGACCTTCCACTGTCCAAAGCATCCTGTCCATCCATTAACAAGGCCACACCAGGCTGTTCTTCTTCTCCCCCTTCTTATGCTCAGGGCTGCATGTGTGCGGTTGTAGGTTGACGTAGATGGACCAGTTCTCCATCTGGGAGTTCAACCACTTGGGGTCATCGTCCTCCACCTGCTCCTCGGCCTCCTCCTCCTCACTTGATCCATCCTCTCCATCTGAGTATCTCCTCTCTGTGTGGCGCTCGTTCCAGTGACACACCTGCTGGGCCTCCTGCGTCGTCCTGGTCGAGGAGCTTGAGTGGTACCCGGTGCAGAGTGCGGTTGTAGTGCAGTGTGGTTGTAAGTTGACGTAGATGGGCCAGTTCTCCACCTGGGAGTTCAACCACTTGGGGGGGTCACCGTCCTCCATCTGCTCCATGGCCTCCTCCTCACTTGATCCTGAGCTCCTCCTCTCTGTGTGGCGCTCGTTCCAGTGACACACCCGCTGGGCCTCCTCCGTCGTCCTGGTCAGGGAGTTTGTGTGACACCCGGTACAGATCCTCCAGCACTTAGTCGGGTGGATGTGTTGGATTACCGCTCGGGTCTTGGAGCACGCGGCGCAGACCAGGAAGCCACATTTCCGGCAGTGGTGTCGACGCTGGGTCACGGAGAACCTGTCGAAGCAGCGCATGCAGATTGCGGAGGCAGAGTCGGGGATACAGGTTTTGGCAAAGTGGGAGCTGATCCGGCAGTCCCTGTTCTGCAGCAGAATGGACCGGCAGTCCTCGATTTGCTGGATCCAGGCCCGCTTCTCCTCCTGGGAGGCGGCTGCCACGTAGAAGGACTTGCGTGGCGTACGGATCAGCCACTGGTTCTTTATTGATAATCCGTTCTCTAGGTCCTCAAGTTGGCAGTCCTCTGAAAATAAAAAATATCAGTCCAATTGAAATGAATTTCAGATGAAAGTCATATTTAGAAACCCTCTGCTGGTTTTGTCATTCAAGCCCTATGGTTTGGTTTACATTGTTTGACTTTTACGCAACTCAAGCTTATTCAGATCAATGACTTGCTTTTGGTAATCCAATAGAATAGATTAAAAATTGCCAACTGCCTACACTGCAAAATAGTCTAAAAATGTAATGAACTAAATACTGTGAGTTTTAATTACGGTTAAGTCAACAGTCGAATGAAGTTCCAATACTGCAGTCCCTCAACGGCCACTTTAAAAACGCTTCAATTTCCGTTGGACCCCATGTAAAATTGTACGTTCTGAACAGCCGAAACACAAACGTATGGTGGCCCTGAAGCAGTGTGAATTTCGTCGATGAAAACTATGACGAAATATGTTTGTTAACGAACCTTTTTTCCATGACTAAGACGAGACTAAGACGTGACGAAAATGATCTTAAAAAATAAAAATTATGACTCTATTCTAACTTTTGTTAACGAGACGAGACGAACATGTTGGTGTTTGACGAAGTCACGATACTTTTCCCCCCTAAATTCGCACGCAGCTAACAGACAACAGACAGGCAAAGTACGGTGGTTATTAACGCGTCATGATGACGTCATCCACGAACCCAGAACGCGCGCTCGTAGCGGTGCAGCGGTGGTTCTTGTGCACCGACTACGGGCCGCGACGACTTATTTACGCTTCGGCGAGTTTGAACGTACGCTTTGTTAGTTTAGCGCAGCGGTCTCGGTTTAGCTGCCTGTTAGCAGGCTGAAGCCGCGCTGCTTCACAGAAACATGAAGACCCGTTTAAAGACTGTCGGACCTTTCTGCTCTGTTCTCTGGCGACGGCAGGCAGCGTTTCCTCGGCTGGATGAGATGGTCCGTTACTAGGGGTCTCTTTTGTTGGGACAGTGGAAACAATAAAGGGCCATGAAGTTTCCGGTGTCCTTGTTAAAAGCATTGCAAGTCGCATCGCAACAGACAAAGACAACAGTGTTGCGTTTAGATCCCTGGTCCTCATGAAGTTGTTACACCTTTGCCAATTTGTTAAATTGCCTTGCAAATAAATGCT